AAAAGTAGTAACATAAAATTGTGCAGTTACTACTGAGAATTTTGTGTTTTCATTGATTCATGCTTTTAAATATCCGAGTTTGAAATGTTTGTTTTTTGATTAAATGTTTTTATAAATACTAATTTTAAAATAGTGACAATCTGTGAAGAATATTTTTGTCTTATTTATTGGATCGATAACTAGAAAAGCAATTTGCCTCCGGTGAGGTTTGAACTCACGACTTCTACTTCCTGTGATTCAAGAAAACAAAAACATAATATCCTATGAGTGTCTTGAATTTGTGCCTCTTTAGCTCAGTGGTAGAGCACTGGTCTTGTAAACCAGAGGTCGTGAGTTCAAACCTCACAGGAGGCAAACTGACTTTCTCATTCGATGCTGCGCTTTTTCTTAAATTTATTAATGCTGTAATTTTTCCTTAACTTTATAAATGTAAAAAAGCATCAACGTTTGGTATAAATCGAATACACTTCTACTTCCTGTGATTCAAAAAAACAAAAACACTAATATCCTATGAGGGTTTTGAACTCGTACCTCTTAGCTCAGTGTAGAGCACTGGTTTCGTAAACCAGGGGTCGTTAGTTCAAACCTCACAGGAGTCCAATGCTTCGAGTTATCGATCCAATAAATCAGGAAAAAATATCATGACAGATTATTACTATTATAATATTAGTATTTAATAAAAACATTTATAAGGTTGCTGTCTCTCATGTATAGGGTCTTTCAAACTTTATAGTTTAAAACTTTAGTGTTTAAAACCCTCATAGGATATTATATTTTTGTTTTTTAGAATCACAGGAAGTAGAAGTATATTGGATTTATACCAAACGTTGCTGCTTCTTTTTCTTTTATAAAATTAAGGAAAAATTACAGCATTAATAAATTGCTTTTCGAGTTATCGATCCAATAAATCAGACAAAAACATTCGTGACAGATTATTATTATAATATTAGTATTTATAAAAACATTTATAAGGTTGCTGTCTCTTGCGTATAAGCTCTTTCAAACTTCATAAGAGATATGCTGTAACTGCACAATATTATATTACTCTCAACATGTGACCTCTTTAGCTCAGTGGTAGAGCACTGGTGTTGTAAACCAGGGGTCGTTAGTTCAAACCTCACAGGAGGCAAATTGCTTTTCGAGTTAACGATTCAATAAAACAGACAAAAATATTCTTCACAGATTGTTACTATTTTAATATTAGTATTTAAAAAAACATTTAATCAAAAAACAAACATGTCAAACTCAAATATTTAAAAGCATCAATCAATGAAAACACAAATATCTCAGTAGTAACTGCACAATATTATATTACTAGCATTCAACATGTAGCCTCTTTAGCTTAGTGGTAGAGCACTGATCTTGTGCCTACCACTCAAACCAGAGGTCGTGGGTTCAAATCTCACAGGAGGCAGAATGCTTTTCGAGATCTCGATCCAATAAATCAGAAAAAATATTCGTGACAGATTATTACTATTATAATATAAGTATTTATAAAAACAATTATAAGGTTGCTGTCTCTCACATATAGTCTCTTTCAAACTCCATAAGAGATATGCTGTAACTGCACAATATTATAGTACTACCTCTCAACATGTGGCCTCTTTAACTAAGTGGTAGAGCACTGGTCTTGTAAGCAAGGGGTCGTGAGTTCAAACCTCACAGGAGGCGAATTGATTTTCTCATTTGATGCTGTGCTTTTTCCTAAATTTATTAATGCTGTAATTTTTCCTTAACTTTATGAAAGAAAAAAATAGCAGCAACGTTTGGTATAAATCGAATACGATATAATATATATATACAATCCACTACACTACTATCTACTACACTTCCACTTCTACTTCCTGTGATTCAAAAAACATAATATCCTATGAGGGTTTTGAACTCGTGTTTCTTTAGCTCAGTGGTAGAGTACTGTTCTTGTAAACCAAGGGTCCCGAGTTCAAACCTCACAGGAGGCAAGTTGATTTTTGAGTTATCGTTCAAATAAATCAGGTAAAAATATTAGTGACATGTTATTACTATTATAATGTTAGTATTTATAAAAACAATTATAAGGTTGCTGTCTCTCACATATATGATCTCTTTCAAACTTCATAAGAGATATGCTATAACTGCACAATATTATATTACTACTTCCCAAAATGTAGCCTATTTATCTCAGTGGTAGATCACTGGTCTTGTAAACCAGCGGTCATGAGTTCAAATCTCACAGGAGGCAAATTACTTTTCGAGATATCGATCCAATAAATCAGACAAAATATTCGTGACAGATTATTACTATTAAAATATAAGTATTTATAAGACAGCATTTATAAGGTTGCTGTCTCCTATATGTAGGCTATTTCAAACTTCATAAGAGATATGCTGTAACCTCACAATATTATATTAGTACCTCTCAATATCTGCATGTAGATAATGCAGCTAAACATGAGTCATTGTGAGGCTGCACACGACTTGCTTATGCAGACGGTAAGAGATATGAAAATTGATGTTGCACTCTTATCAGAACCTTACAAACGACTAACTGATTGGCCATGGGAAACGGACAGTACTACCAAAGCTGTTATTTGGTCCTGTGGCAAATTTTGTTTCCAAAATGTTGTTAACAATAGCAACGCTGGATTTGTCGCAGCATTATTATGTGGTATACATTTATACAGCTGTTACGCTCCACCTAGTCTTTCTTTGCCAGAAACGACACCAACCCGTAGCGATAGCCGGTGACTTTAACGCATGGGCGGTAGACTGGGGCAGTAGGAAGACTAATGCAAGAGATAAAGCACTTTTAGAGGCCTTTAATGCACTTGACGTTGTTTTACTTAATAGTGGTGATAAGCCAACCTTTGTCAAGGGCAGTGCAAGCTCAATAATAGATCTTACTTTTGTAAGCGATAGCCTCGTCAGAGAAAATTGCAATTAGGAGGTTTTAGATATCTACACTGCTAGTGACCACAATGCAATCACCTGGAAAATATCAACGAATAGAAACATTAGAAGACATGCAAAAGTATGTAAAGCCATTGGGTGGAAAATAAAATCTTTTGATGAAAGCGCCATGAGAGTTGCCTTAAATTGCAAACCTATAATTTCAGAACACGCAGATGAGCATACTAGAGAGGTGATCGAGAGAATAACCGAAGCCTGTAATATCAGTATGACTCGTAAGCATGGCATAAATCAAAGACAATCTGTGCACTGGTGGACTGAAGAAATCAGCTCTCTTTGTAAAGAGTGCCTAAAGAGAAGAAGGATTTCTCAGCGAGGATATAGTCTCACTAATTCTGCACAACTGGTAGTGGAATATAAACAAGCACGTCGGCAACTAAATAAAGCTATCAAAGATAGTCAAGTAAGGTGCTGGAAAGAACTTCTGGATGAAGTAGAGGAAAACCCATGGGGAAGACCTTATAAGATTGTAATGTCTCGCCTCAAAAGCTACAAAAGTTACTATTGAATAAAATAGTAACTACTTTGTTTCCACGACAACCTAATTTAAACCATTAGGTAGCACATGTAGAACTGAATAATATTCCACCTATAACACTGCAAGAACTGATGGAAGCTTGTCATCGCGTTGGATATAGTAAGGCACCGGGATTAGATGGAATTCCTAATATTGCCTTAAAAACATCAATTATGACATCTTCGACTATGTTTCTTAATGCATATAATACATGCCTGAAAGAAGGGGGTTTTCCACGGAAATGGAAACAGCAAAGATTAGTGCTTATTCCCAAAGGAAAAAACCACCAGATGTACCATCATGCTACCGTCCAATATGCATGCTGGATACAGCGGGTAAAATTTTTGAAAGAATAATTCACCAAAAAATAGATGCAGTAGCTGATCCAATCCTAGCAGACAATCAGCATGGTTTTCGCAAAGGGCGATCAACTATCGACGCTATAAACTTGGTAGTTAATACCGCCAAGGAAGCAATTGCTGGAACCAGATGGAAGGGGGGTGCAAAAAAGTACTGTCTTGGAGCTACATTAGATATAAAAAATGCTTTCAATTCTGCAAACTGGGATTGCATTATGAATGCACTCCGTGACAAGAACGTGCCAGCATGCCTCTGCAATATAGTTCAGACAGAATTTCTACTTTACAGACAGAATTCTAATGTATGATTCACGCGATGGTACAGAAGAATATAATATAAGAGGAGGTGTGCCGCAGGGCTCTGTTCTAGGCCCTTTGCTGTGGAATATTATGTATGATGACCTTATGAGGCTAGAGATTTCAGAATGTAGAAACTAGTAGCATATGCAGACGATATTGCCATAGTAGTTGTCTCCAAACAAATTAATGACATCGTAAGTCTATTCGATATAACATTTAGAAAAATTAATCGCTGGATTGGAACAATGAACCTCCAATTAGCACAACAAAAAAGTGAAGCTGTTCTTATCACTAGTAGAAAAACAATAGAGACCATCAAGCTAAAGATGGGAAATCTAGAGGTCGCGTCAAAACCTCACATCTGTTACCTTGGCGTAATGCTTGATGCTCGTTTGAATTTCAATCAACAGGTGGAACACGTTAGTGCTAAGACGTCAATAGTTAGGACGAGACTTGCTCGACTGATGCCTAATGTTGGAGGTCCTAAACAAACTAGAAGGATATTACTTCGGTAATGACATATAGTATCACCATATGGGCTGAGGCTCTTAAATCTCAAAAATCGAGGAGAATGGCAGGGCCCATATATCGTCTGAGTGCTATAAGAATTGCTTGCGCATTTCGCACAATATCGGCGGAAGCAGTGTGCGTCATTTCAGAAACTGTGCCTCTCTTAATCTTAGCAGAGGAAAGACGGTCAATTTACCATAGAAGACATCAACAACTAAGTCCTGAGAAGTTGAGATTAGAGGAACCGCAAAACAGCATTGACCGATGGCAGCAACTGTGGGATGTCGCAGTGAAGGGCAGGTGGACGCGTCTCATTCCAAACTTCAAAGTCTGGCTAAGTCGCAAGCATGGAGAAGTAAATTATTATACTACGCAAATGCTGTCTGGGCACGGCTGTTTTCGAGCCTACCTACACCGCTTCAAGCACGATAGCTCGCCGGATTGCCCATATTGTTGGGGCGAAATCGAGGATGCTGAGCATGTGTTTTTTTGTGTGCTCGCGATTTGGTGCTGCACGGGGCGATGTGGAAGAGACATTGAGACGAAGCATTACCCCAGGTAACCACCATAGACAGATTTGCGAGAGAGGTACTAATTGACCTGCGTTCTATGGAAAGAAAAAGGACGAATGGAACTTTGCCCACCTAAAAGATGAGCATAAAACAAGTTAAAAATTATAACATTCTAGATCCTCCCCCCACGAAGTAATGCCTAACGGCGGTTTCCGTGGAGACCAGAGGCAAGGGCAAAGCGGAGGTTTTAGTCGGTATTATACCAGAGCGGTATTGAGTCCGACATACCCAGACAAAAGACCAGTCTGGGATGCATAAACGCATTTCCTCTCAACCTCTCAAAGAAAACCTCTCAACATTTGGCCTCTTTAGCTCAGTGGTAGAGCACTGGTCTTGTAAACCAGGGGTCGTGAGTTCAAACGTCACAGGAGGCAAATTGCTTTTCGAGTTATCGATCCAATAAATCAGACAAAAATATTAGTGACAGATTATTACTATAATAATATTAGTATTTATAAAAACATTTATAAGGTTGCTGTCTCTCTCATATAGGCTCTTTCAAACTTCATAAGGGATATGCTGTAACTGCACAATATTATATTACTACTTCTGAACATTTGGGATCATTAGCAGTAGAGCACTGGTCTTGTAAACCAGGGTTAGTGAGTTCAAACCTCACAGAAGGCAAATTGCTTTTCAAGTTATCAATCCAAATTTTCAGAAAAATTTTCAGACAAAATATTGATGACAGATTTATTTATTTATTCATAAGTAAGCCTTAATCAATAATAATAGATATTATTTCAGGCTCTTGTCAAGCTTATTCATAATTAATATTAAAAGGATAGTAATTTTATAATAATCATAGTAGCTGCACAAATTTCGCTTCTGAAAAAAAGAGCTGAAAAAAAGCATTCGAACATTAAATAAAATGCTCATCATCAAGTTCATCATATTAAAGTCTATTTGACCACCGGTCATGCTTAAAATTCTTGCACAAGGTTGAATGTTATACTCATTTAAAACCGTAAAAATTTAAATGAATAAAATAGCAATAAAAAAAAACTTGGTTGTACAGGCGATCAAATAAATGGTCAGACTACATAGATAAAGGATAAGGATTATGCTAGGAAATAGTTATTGAAATCAAATTGAGAAAATTCAGTAATATCATAAAAAGCTAATTCTTTAAAAAGTTTAACTAGAAAAGCATGAAATTTTTTGCTGTCTAAGTTTCGGATATTGAGTGGAAGTTTATTCATAAGCA